AAATACAGTATTTTCCGCACTATAGGGCGCACTTAAAGCCTTTAATTTCCTCAGAAAAACGAATGCAGAGTGTCTTATATATGAATTTATTGGGGTGTCTTAGTATGACTTTAGTAAACTACAAAGCCGCACCACTTGTAGCATTACGGCTCCCGTAGTCAAGAGCACCGCGGAGTAATACATACCATATTTTCCGGGCTTTTAGGCGCTCTGGATTATAAGGCGCACTGTCATAGAATTGGTCTATTTTCTTTTTTCACAAATAAACCGCACTGGACTTTAAAGGAAACCCAACAGTTGATGGGTGAGTGGTTTTGTTTGTTTGTGGCGTTCACGGTGACTCTGGGCTTTGTTCAGTTGTGGCGTGTAGGGAGGGTGTGTCTGGGACCAACAGATTGTCGGCGTGTTCACAGTGACTCAGTTGTTCAGTTGTGTCTAGAAGTGGCACATTGCACTCGCTTTTTCGGTTCCTTCCTCCGTTCTGTTCCTCATCGGTGTGGAGTGATGAGTGTGTCTGTGGGTGTGTTTCGCTGTGTGGTCGCTGTCTGCTCTGTGTGTGTTTGTGTGTGCTGCGGGTGGTGCGGCTTTGTAGTTTACTGAAGTCGTGTTGGGACACTCGAGTGGATTCATGTATGGGGCGCTCTGGATTGCGGGGTGCGCGGCCGTTTTTTCGATGCGGTTAGAGGCTTAAGAGCGCGACTAATAGCCCGGAAAATACAATACTGTGATTCCTTTTAATATCAAAATGCACCTGTCAAGAGACACGCTCACAACACCCACTTTAAACTCAAGGCTTTTATAAAGTGAAAGTGTGAGCTGCGTGGGAGCAGTGAATGAGAGAAGAACACACATTCACACCAAGACAGGGAGACAGCGCCGAGCGACTTACGCCACGATCTGCCAATGGATCGTGGACACCTGGACTAAGGATCAGTATCAACTGTGGTCCGAGCTTTCACCAAGACCAGAATCATCACTGAACTGAACTCCAGGGAACAGTAACCACACTGACTCGGATAATGACGAGAGGGATGTGGACGTGCTGGACGCTGTAATCACCCAACTGTTTGAACTATTATAACTTATTGTGAATACAACTTTTTTTTTATGTGTTACAATTGAACAAAGTTGAGTTATAGGTGAGTTTCAGCTGACGTCATTGTTATTAAAAGCCCGCGTTGCATGCTGGGAAATATTTTGGTCGGAGGCAAGAAACACGGTAGTGGTCAAACACAGTGCGTAACCTCACGTATTTATCCCTGATAATGGTAAATTCCTGCTGCATTATCGGATGCACAAATAGAAGCACGGAAGAAGGAAAATGTCTTTTTCGAATTCTGAGTGAAAAGAACCACTAACGGTGAATTAAACGACTTTCAAACATTCGCAGAGCAAACGTAGAAGATCCTAACAAACCGTGGACTCAACAAGTTCAACAACACATCGAGACTCTTGGAGGTTTTCATCTTTTCTGCTGTGAATGGCCCAGGAGTTTCCACCAAGTCATTGTGGATATCGCCAAAGTGAATATTTGTCCAGGTAGTTGGTGATTCTGACCAGAAATGTGGTTTGGTCCACCTTTTGTCGGGGTTGAAAAAGGGTGATTTGTCGTCCGTTGATGCTTATGACCAATTTCTGGTCAAATGGTCTTGGGTCCTCTGCCGTTAGAGTGGATAAATAACCGGGATCAATACCCTTTACGTGCTTTCTCGCTCCGTCAGTCATGTTGAATTAGTGTTTCTTGCCACCGACCAAAATAATTCCCAGCATGCAACGCACGCTTTTGTCAACAATGAAACTCGCCTATTGTGAACATGTTAAAGTTTGACTGACTTAATCTAACTGTTGTGTTTCGTTTAATGCGCCTTTTAGTCCGGTGCAATTTATATGTGAAAAAAGTTCAAAAATAGACCATTCAGTGACAGTGCGCCTTATAATTCAGAGCCCCTATAGTGCAGAAAATACAGTACCTTGAAACACATGCAATCTTACTGAGAATGGGCTCGCCTCCCCACAGATTTGACTTGTGATTTGGTTTGGTAGCGTCATGTTGTCTTGTCTTCATGGAGATATACGTTTAATGCCATAATACGGAACATTTCAGCAAAGCATTAACAGATAAGTAAGTAGTCTGTAGACCGTACACCAGAAAAGTTACATAGCAGGTCATCTGTAATTAAATGAGTTTGACAGTTTTGGCATAAACGATCAGTTCTGAACGATCAAGACAATATTCAGTTCCAAAAAGTACAACGTGGTAAACAGTTTTGGCAAAGACATGAAACGCTGAGTGAGTGGAGATCGATGGATGGAAATAATAAGATTGTTTCGATGTTTTTGGCCATTTAGAACAAGAAATTGGGAGAACTCAAAGACACATTCAGAAAACTGTCGGGGATTGGATGGGATGGGTGAAATACAGTCTCACAATTTTTCATAGGCTTTAACTTTTCCTTCCTCCCTAGTATGTGTTGCCAGGCTCAACAGGTAATGCTGAAATAACAATTGTAATGCTGATTTATTCTTAATTACAAAAAACATAAACATGATGGCCAAGCTGTTATAATTTGGTGTTTTGGTTCATGAGATCAGAGAACAGAATGAGCCTCAGGTGAGACTTTCATTTGGGTCGCCAGTTTCAAAGCTTAAAGATGCTTTGTGTAACTTTTCTGATGGAGGGTCTGACACTTAGCCAGGCTGGTGCTACCTAGTACCTCCACACATTTTCATTTCTCTCCATTAACTAGGTCAGGACTCAAAATACACTAGATGATTCGCAAAAAACCCAAAGTGCAAGTTCGGGCACCAGCCAATCAGAGAAGAGTCATATATTCTGTGGTGTCAACGATTCTTGAGATCAAGGATTTAAAGCTAGAGCAAAGAATTTTTAGTGAATTTCATCAAGGGGAAAAGACATTATTACCCATCTTCCTACAGGATTTGGGGAAAAGCTTTGTACGAAGTGAAACGAAGTAAAACCAGCTGATGAATCAGGCTATCTGACACCTGCTTGTGTCTATGGATACGTCATTGCCTTGTCTGGAATGTTCAATGTGACATTAAATAGCTCTACTTTACATTTATTAAATTACAGGTGGTTTTATAGCTCAAAAATAACTTGAAAAACAAAATTCTGAGTGTGAGTGGAGTCGCACCTCCATAGATCTGACCTGTAACTTGGTTTGGTTTGGTCTTCATGAAGATAGAAGGGTTTAATGCCATACTGTGAAACATTCCAGACAAAGAAATAACATGGTGAAAAAGCATCTGACAGAGCCTCCACCAGAAAAGTTTCACAGTGCATCTTTAAAGCATCGGCAGCCCAGGTTTAGTGGCGACTGTAGAAACATTTTTAAAACGCTACATACAGTTCCTTGATCTGTTTTGTCGGAGCTGATCTTTGTGACCAGCTTCTTTATCTGTTGGCTGTTCTCATCTAATGCATCAGAGTTAGTAGTTACAAATATCTAACTAACTTAATCATCTGTAATTGTTTAATGACGTTGTTTGGACTGGAAGCAGTGACAAAACCGGACCAAATAAAACTACAAATGAAAAGTAGCAGTAGATGACCAAACCCACTCACACAGGCCACTTATTTGACTGTATAAATAGGTTAATTTTACACAATACTAAATCAGAAATCAACTGTAAACTGTAGTTATATATTTACAGCAGCAGCGCACACGAAGCTCCCTCCCTTTTCAAATCACATGTACAAGAGTAAAGACGCCCGGCTCAGTAGAAAATGTACACTCCTCACGACATTCGCTTTTAGAAAAAGTCATTCAAGTGGCTGCAGTGGTCAGGAGCTTCAGGAGCTTCAGGAGCTTCAGGAGCTTCAGGAGCTTCAGGACAGGGGCATAAATAAATAAACTTTAAATGGGCTTCTTCAGCTTTTCAATGAATGGAGGAGGGAGGTGTATTGTCTGCAAGAACATACTGAAAGACTATTGTTTTTTTTTTTGAAATATGCAAATTAGAATATTGAATTAAAGAAATAACCCTTAAGTAATAAAAGTAACTTTCCTCCACATGTTAAAAAAAACAAATTTAGGCCAGCACATTTAAGATGAACCTCAGAAGTATTTTCTGATTATAATAATGGGTGATCCAAAACTCCTCCAGTGGGACCCCAAAGTGTCCCAGGCCAGCCGAGTGACAGAGTCCCCTCCTGCGTCTTTCCTGGTTGAACCCCTGCCAGGGAAGAGACCAGGAGGAATCTGGAACAGATGCCTTCCTCTCAGCTGCTCCTCTCGATGTGGAGGAGCAGCGGCTCTACTCTGAGCTCCTCACCCTATCTCTAAGGAAACACCCACTCAGCCTTCAAAGATCGATTTTGTCCTTTCAGTCATTCCCCACAGCCCACGACCACAGGTGAGAGTAGGACTGTAGACTGAGTGGTAAAACCAGAGATTTGCCATAAGACTCTTTATTTCTGTTGTCCCTAAATTTCATGATTTAGTCAAATATACACTGAGATTTATCACACGTTTAAGTTTTCTACGGCAACAAGAGTCTTGATGCTGAGTAAAAATTTTAAGGTGCAATACGCAACTTGTGGTGGAGGATCTGTCACCTTCTTTGCTTGGAATGTTCCATGGTGAAGCTTTCACTTTAAAACTCATAGTGCCACTACGCTTAATTACAGGTTAGATCTGTGGAGAGGCGCCCAGCTCACAGCAAGAAAGCATGATTTACAAGGTATTTTTGAATCGTAAAAGTGCTTTAAATTGAGATAAAGATAAATATCTCCATGGAGACAAGCGGATGATGGACCCCCATCAAAAAAGTGACATAATGCACCTTTAACTTTATTTATTATAAGCAGGTATTTCCTTTGTTTGGATCATTTGTTTGCTGAATGAACCACATAGTTATTTGGAGCTAAAATAAGAGACATGGACGTGTAATTTTCATCTTGCCACTAGATGTCACTCTGATCACTGCGATCTGTCCCATGCTACAGCCAAATAAAATCCTCTGAAGTACCACGGTCATGAGGCATGTTTTTACATTTAAAACAATTCCAAACACAACTAAAACAACAGTACAGAGCCAATGGAGAAACACCTCCTCTTCTCTGCAGCAAGGTCACATGACATGAGCATTCTGGGAACTGTAGTCCACTTCAGTTTTTCTCACCAAGAAATGTCAATACTTGTTAGGTCAAATATGTTCCTTATGTTTCAAAGTCAGCGTTACAAATTCAAAAAACAACTTGTTTATCAGTTCATTTCTTGTCTCTATTTTTGGGGTAGATTTTTTCATAGAAGTAGTTTTGGGCTAAAAGGTAGAGTTCCCCGTCTTTCTCTCGGACGGCGTGAGCTCGGACAAACTGAAACTGCTCCAAAGCGAATTCGTAAAAATCGTTTTCCATTTTCCAGATCGAAGACTGCTGGAGTTTGTGCACAGACTCTTTAGTGGGAGGCTTCTTCTCTGTTGTCTTCCTCAAATGGGACTTTTTACCTGTAAAACAAATAAAAATGATAGTTAGTGTCTAAAATGCAACTGTAACTGTCATATTTTAAGACTTATGACATGTCCTTTTGTTCATGTACATTAGGGATGTCGAAAGTTTCACAAAGCAGATTCGATACTTTAAAGGTGCATTGTGTAACTTTTAGGGATGTGCAAAAATATTGCTATCGATATATCGTATCGTTTAATGTGATGATACAGTATCGATATCGTGGGCTACTGTATCGATATATCACAAAGAGTTTTTTTGGTAAATTTTACTAAATTATTTAGTTACAGCTACAGTTTTGATGCTTGAAAACAAACTCGTTTATGTGACACATTTGACATTTTCACTGTTTTGGTGAATAAAATGTTTGTGTTTCATGTGAACTTTGCACAAGAAGTGGTTTAACAAAGACTTTTAGTATCACAGCCATGATTTAGTATAAATTTTTTATTGAACCATATCAAATCAATCAAATAAAAAAATATCGTATCGAATTGAAAGTGCACTATATCGTGATATATATCGTACCGTGGCCTGTGTATCGAGGTCTGTATCATATCGGCAACTTCTTAATGATACCCAGCCCTAGTAACTTTCCTGGTAGAGGGTCCATCATCTGCTTATTTCTATGGATTTGTCATTGCTCTGCTTGGAATGTTCCACACTATGACATTAAACAGATCGACCTTTTAAATTTAGCGTCGGTGCAGCGTTGGCAGTGATACAGTCGCTGTATCGGACCGTTGTGGTGAAGAGGGAGCTGAGCTGAAAGATTTACGATTTACCATCAATCTACATTCCTCCCTTCACATATGGTCATGAGCTCTGGGTAATGACCGAAAGGACGAGATCGCGGATACAAGCACTCGAAATGAGTCTCCTCCAGGGTGTCTGGGTGCTCCCTTAGAGATAGGGTGAGGAGCTGCGTCACACTGGAGGAGCTCGGAGTAAAGCCACTGCTCCTCCATGTCGAGAGGAGCAGTTGAGGTGGCTGTTTCGGATGCCTCTTGTGTTCCAGGCATGTCCCACTGGGAGGAGGCCCCGGGGAAGACCTAGGACACGCTGGAGGGACTATGTCTCTGGGCTGGCCTGGGAACACCTCAAGGTCCCCCCCGGAGGAGCTGAAGGAAGTGTCTGGGGTGAAGGAAGTCTGGGAGTCCTTCACCCCAGACACTCAGACAGCTGCCCCTGCGACCCAGCCCTGGATAAGTGGAAGAAAATGGATGGACCTTTAAATTTATTCAATTATAGGTGGGTTTATAGCTCAAAAATACATTCTGACTGGGAGTGGCGTCGCCTCTCCACAGATCTGACCCATAACTTGGTTTAATTTGGTCTCCGTGAAGATGAAAAAATGTTTAATACCATACTGTGAAACTTTCCATACAAAGCAATAACAAGAATGTGTCAGAGCCTCCACCAGAAAAGTGACACAATGCACCTTTCATTCAAATGGTAGATTCTCTCATTGTGTAAAAATAAACCATCACCAGTGTTTTTCTGTCTTTTATTTATTGTGTAATTCTACCCAATCAAGTCTGTTTGCCCTCCTCACTGCCCTCAATCATGTGGAGCATTTTGTACCATTTATATTTTGTGCCTCATACACAAGCAGTGATTATAGTAATACAAAAGTCCACCACTAGGGGCCAGTATCGACACAAGTAATTAGTCTAAGTGCATTTTCGTACTTGAGTCATACAATATTTCATTATTTGAGACAAGGCCAATGCTTTCACTTTAAGATATTGATTTTTTTCTGGTTTCTTTCTGAAGACAACTCAATTTATTTGTTCATTTATTTATTTGCAATACTGATTTTATTGTAAGCGAGTTAAACAAGAACAACCAAACTTACCGTAAGTCAATACATATACACATGATCATATTCCTGGATGTCTCAAAATTTGCATTAGTTAATACTTTCTATCTTTCTTTCTTTTTATAATTTTTTTTTTTATTATTTTATTTTTATTTATTTATTTTTATTTACTTTACTTCACTTCTATTTATTTTTATTTATTTCTTTATTTATTTATGTTTACATATTTTCATAAGCATGCCCCTCCTTTAAAAAAAAACAAACCAAACTTACCATAAATCAATACATGATCATATTCCTGTCTCAAAAATTTGCATTAGTTAATATTTTCTTTATTTCTTTATTTTTATGAATTTATTTTTTGAATATATTTATTTTATTATATTTTTTATTTATTTGTTTTTATTATTTTACTTCACTTGTATTCATTTATTTCTTTACTTTATTTTTTTTTTATTATTTTTAAATTTTGCATTTATTTATTATTTAATTTTTATTATTTTACTTCACTTCTATTTTTATTTATTTATTTATTTATTGCATATTTTCATAAGCATGCCCCTCCTTTAACAAAAAACAACCAAACTTACCGTAAATCAATACATGATCATATTCCTGGATGTCTCAAAATTTGCATTAATTTAGATTTTCTTTCTTTCTTTATTTTTATTTAATATTTTTTATTATTTATTTATTTTTGTATATATTTATTTTATTATATTTTTTTATTTATTTTACTTCACTTCTATTAATTAATTAATTAATTTATTTACTTTCTTTCTTTCTTTACAATTTTTTAATTTTGCATTTATTTTTATTTATTTATTTTATTTTTATTTTATTTTTTTTCGCATATTTTCCTAAGCATACCCCTCCTTAATCTCCATAAGCGTGCGGAGTCTTTGGCCTGGTGACTAAACTGATTCCCTAATGCTGAGCTGATGTGATTTGAGGTTTGACTTTATGAGCGCTGAGTCTGGGAGATGTGAACCTGTCACTCTGTATCTGTCTGTGTGAGTCTGTCTGTGGATTACTCATCTGAACCGTTTACTGTAACCACACGAGAGGAGGGAGGGACGGGGGTCATATTTCTCTAAGCACCTGGTTCAAAAAGAAGCAGGAATTATGTCTAGTGTCAGTAAGTCTATATAACAACACTGTCTAGTTTTACAGTGACAAAAGGAGTCAAAAAGTTTAGATTAAAAGGGCTCATATTACGCAATTTTCTAATCTAAGTTCTAATGTTGTGTTTTGTTTCATTCACATGTTTAACACCCAAATCCTGCACACTTTGGCTGAGTTCTTCTCTCAGACAGAAAACACCCTATTCCACCTTGTGACATCATGTGCTCCACTGTGTTTTTAAACTCCATATAGCTTTACTAGAATAATTTGGGAGTTTTAACCACTAACCATTGGTCAAAATGTGTGTGTATGTTAGGGATGGGCAGTTGATACAGTTTTCTTAATCAATCATCGGGAGAATTAACAATCGATTATCGATTAATCATTAATGTTTTTATATTAAAATGATCATTATTATTATTACTATCTGCACTACTAATCTGCATAAATTAAATTCAACTTTACGACATATAAACCGTCACCACTCTAGAGCCACATCAGCCCGTTTATTATAATGTGTTTAATGCAGATTTGTGCAACTCTCTCAGAAGCAAAACTTAAAACCGCATCACTAATTTGCATAAACTAAGTGAATAAAAAACAGCTCTTGTGCACTGATCCGGTTCAACTTCTGTTGGATTAAAAGACATGACTCAGGTGAATACAGGTTAGTGTGACCATATTTGCGTTTGTCAAAACCAGGACACCGTACGGGGGGAGGGAGGTGGGGACTCGTCATCGACATTGAGCGACTCTCACCTGGAAAAACTTTTTCATGTTTTCGTTGTCCTGGTGAACTTTTTTCCACTGGACACATATGTGCTGCTTTGTACACTGTGCACATGGACTCACACTTGTCCCGACCAGGAAGGAAAGCATGGAATTTCTTGTACGTTAAATATGCATTTGTGCTTCGGTACGTTGCAGACTGACCGACTGACTTGTGTCTGCTCGCTCCTTCTGAGTACAAAGAGCTACATGTACGGACCCCCGATTGTCCCCGGACACGGACGTTTGGTCACCCTACGCTACACACAGCAACCTACATTCGGTTTGTCGATTAAAAATGAACCTAATCGATGAAATTCTTAATGATCAATTATCAATTAATCGACTAATCATGCCCATCCCTAGTGTATGTATGTATGTACCATATTTTCCGCACTATAGGGCGCACTCTTAAGCCTCCAACCCCATCAAAAAACGAACCCGCAATCCAGAGCGCCCTATACACAAATCCACTCAGGTGTCCCAGCACGACTTCAGTAAACTACAAAGCCGCAGCACCCGCAGAACACACAAACACACACGGAGCAGACAGCGATACTTATTACTTTAAATGTGCACTGTGATCTCCATCTTGAGTTTGCCCTGATGAAGCCGAGGGGCCGAAAATGCACTGGCGTGATTTTAACTTTATCTGCCATGTGCTATTAAAGGATTTTAATTATGTTGTACTTTTTGAGTGTCTCAGTTTTTTCCTACTTTGTATTTGAAACTGGTCCCTACACCGAAGAGCACCAAAAGGACAATTCTGCATAATTTATGTATATCCAAGTAGCACTCCTGCCCCTAAAGTATTACCGCAAAATGTTTATGACTAGTAGAAAAATAAATAAAAGTTCTAAAATAAAAGCTCTAACATTTGCTGATTTAATAACAGGTAAATAAAGTTTCTGTTGATGTGTATTAGTCCAATAAGGTTCTTTTGGTCTTCAGATAATTTATTTTGAATAGATTATATATTTTCAGACCAAGGTTTAGAGTTAACACAACCCCGACAGTATCACCTCTGTCCTACTCTTGCAAAATACGACTGATTAAATATTTAAAATGTAATGATCTATGCAAATATTTGTTTTGCTTTTCAGAATTCTTCATGGTGCTGCTTCTCCTCTGAAGGGTTTCGTCTCATTGAGCTCTGAAGAAACATCTTGAGTAACAGGCTCATCCTCCAAAGGACAGAGCACAGTACCCAAAAGTAAGAGCACACTCGCCAAATCCTCTTTTTCCTCTGTTGCTGTGAGTCACTGGAATCATTTGCCAACAGAGAGACGAACCTGCACAGGTTTTCAAATGTTTGCACGTCTGACAAAGAAGCGGCAGATCTCTAAACAAGTTTGTACTTTATGGATGAGTGTGATTTGAATGAGAATAGAATGTAGAATGTGTGTGTTGGGCCTTGATACAGAGTGGAAAAAGCTGAATCTGTATTTTAGTTTTTCCACCAACCTGCTCAGGGACACAGGTGTAAATGAGCATCCACACTGTAACCTGCACCAACATCTTTCCTATGACTTCTGTCTTTGTTAATGTTTTGTTTTGCACTGTCCCTGTTCCAATAAAAAGCAGACCATACCATACCACAAAATCACGCAAAGAACTCTAGTGACCAGTCCAAATGATCAGGTATGAAAACAAACTGAACCTTGGTCTAAAAAAAAAGAACCTATTCAAATAAAAATGTCTACCCTCAGTGAAAATATAACTGAATAGACCCAGCAAAATCAAATCCTTTCACTCCACATTTCTGTCTTTTGTGCACCTGTCCTGTAGAGGTCCGTGGCTCCTCTGAAGAAGCGCGGCAGAGCGGCCTCCAGCATCATGACGAAGTCCTCCAGCTCCTCTGTGACTCCCACCAGCAGGTACTCGTTCACCAGGGTCGCCTTGGCCTGCTCCAGAGCCCACTCACTGCCGACGTTCCTGCGCAACAGTCACATCTGAAGTGAGTTTCATGTGTTTAAAGGTACTAGTGCTCTTGTGTGCTTTAAGTGGACAAGTTACTGATTTCTCCAAAACAGAGTTAACTGCCTTAGATTTAATCACTTCTAGTTATGTATTATTAGCTTAGCTTATTGGGAGCTTATAAGGTCACACTTTGTCCCACTCCTTTTTGAATATAACAACGGAAGCGTTCACACTTAGAAATATTGTATTTAATGTCTTGTCTGAGATGGCTATATTTATGTATACAGGTGTGTAGGTGTTTACTGTATTTTTCTGTTGTAAGTCGCTCCGGTGTATAAATCGCACCAGCCAAAAAATGTGCAATGAAGAAGAAAAAAACATATCTAAGTCGCATCGGAGTATAAGTCGCACATTTTGGGGAAATGTATTTTGTAAAATCAGAGACCAGGAACTGACATTTCATCTTGAAAGGCAAGTTCTAATAATAACAGAATAGAAAACAACAGGCTGAATAGGTGTTAATATGTTAATGTCACATATGACATAAACAACAGAACATAAGTTTACCAAACTCACGATCTCACTCCACATCACTAAATCCATTGAATTCTTCATCCTCTTTGTCATTTCTGTACGACCTCCGGAGATAAACCATAGATCCATGAGGTAAACAGAGCGTTGCTTCCTCTTCTGTGTCGCTGTCGTCAGACTCGGCATCAGTTCCAGTTAGAATTATTCGGGCCTTTTTGAATCCCGACAGAATGGTTTCAGTGTCACTGAAGTTCAGGCTTTGTCCATCCATCCAGTGACTTTCAGGAAAGTTTCATAGTGCACTCTCCCGGTTGTCATGAAGCTGTGTTCTCCATCCTCGCTTTTCACCAGTCCCTCACAAGTTTCTCGTTCACTCCAAACTTTCTTTCTGCTGCTCGATTACAGTTTTCAGCTGCAGATTTCACTATTTGCAGCAGAACAATGGCTTTTTCTGCAGGAGACATGTGCAGTAGAATGCGAAGTGACAGTGGTACAGGAGTAACAGTAGTACTAGATACTGACACACAAGACTAGAGCCTGTCGCGGCTTCAGTGTGAAAATTTTAATATAAAAGTTGTACCGAAGAATAAGTCACAGGAAACACTCAAACCATGAAAAAAAGTGCAACTTATAGTCCTGAAAAATGTATGTGTGTGTGTATGTATGTATGTATATATATATATATATATATATATATATATATATATATATATATATATATATATATATATATATATATATATATATATATATATATATATATATATATATATATATATATATATATATATATATATATATATATATATATATATATATATATATATATATATATATATATATATATATATATATATATATATATATATATATATATATATATATATATATAATATATATATATATATATATATATATATATATATATAATATATATATATATATATATATATATATATATATATATATATATATATAATATATATAATATATTATATATATATATATATATATATATATATATATATATATATATATGTGTATATATATGTATATATGTATATGTATGTATATATACAGCAGATATTAGATATGTAGATGTATGTTACCTAACAATGATAATGTTAAAAACAACAGCCACAACTGGTCTAAATTACACAACAGTTATGACATGACAAATAAAAATACATGACAACACCTTTATTCAATTAAACTGTCTGTTAAAATTGTGAGAAAAATGCTTTTCTTGTTCATAAATTGTCTTTGTTTTCTACTTTTCTTCACAAACTGCCACATAACAGATGTAAAACTACAAGTATAATGAACATTTACCACTGGGACTATTCCACTAAACCAAGAAATCATAATAATTAGAAAAATCTGTCAAATGCATTTTAAATCTCTTGTTTGGACCAACTCCGTGCCGATGGTTTTCAAAATGATTCAGCTTTTTGTTATTGACTATTTAGCTCAATGAAACTAGACTCAGTCCTTTTTGTACTTTTTTCTATACAGTCTGACCTTCACAGAATAAAACATATGAGCTTTTCCAAACGCCTTGCATCCTTTATGACAACATCTCTAAAAAGCATGCCACAACCCAGCCCCAGCTCGTATATCTGCAGCCCAAATCACATTTTTATAGTCCATAACAAAGTCTGGAACGCTTCCAAACTGAACATTAAGGCCAACAGTCTCCTTTCAAAGAGAAAACCGGTGTTGTCGGACTATTTCACCTCGCGCTGTAATAAAATCTCGAGGAGTTTGAACTTATTTTTATTCACAAGCCAAGGCAGAAGTGAAGGCTGCGGTTTGCTACAGACAGACAGATAAGCACAGGGGAGATGGGAAAGCACTGGGGCCTAAAATGATGCAATAGGAAGCAGGGAGAATTTACTTTAATGACGCAAAACACATCGTCTCTCCAAAATTCAGTGTTTGGTAAGTGAGTCTATGACCTGGAGCAGATATATAGGCATTGAATTTATACAAAAAGTGTGTTTTGATTCACAAACTAATGGGAAACGTGGACCATGTAACGTTTTGGTTTGGTCCGTCACCTGCTTGTTTCTATGGATATGCCATTGCTCTGCCTGGAATGTTCCACAGTATGACAGCTCTATCTTACACTCATTAAATCCAAAATAAACTCTATTTAACTCCTAACTTTTAACTTTTTTATTATTTATTGGCAGTGTTGGGAAGGTTACTTTTAAAATGTATTCCCCTACAGATTACAGATTACATACCCAAAATGTAGTTTGTAACAGAATCCATTAAGTTACTTAAGGTGAGTAACGTAATCTGAATACTTTGGATTACTTGATTTGCTGTAGAGAAGCAAAGACTAGGATATCATAACATAAGATGATTTGTCTGATAAAAGAAAATAAAAAGCCCAGACTTTACTGAACCAAATTAAAAATATTATTGATAGAAGACGAGGAGACACGTCCACACAGCAGGATTTAGTCCTGTTAAATCTTGCTTTAGTCCTGTTTTAGTCCTGTTTTAGTCCTGTTTTAGTCCTGGTTTAGTCCTGGTTTAGTCCTGGTTTAGTCCTGTTTTAGTCCTGGTTTAGTCCTGGTTTAAGACCTGGTTTAGATCTAGTTTAAACCTGGTTTTAGTCCTTTTTTGGACTTGGTTTAGATCTAGTTTAGACCTGGTTTAATTTCCGGCAAGTGGAATTACCGAAAAAATAAAAATAAATAAAAAAGGGGGGGGTATAGCCCAAAATGCAAAAACAGGAAAACAGGAAAATCCCGCCGTGTAATCCATTTATTTCAATAAAGTAACTGTAATCCAATTACCACTCACTGAAACAGTAACTGTAACTGAATACAGTTACTCATAATTTGTACTCTGATTACGTAACGTATTACATGTAATCTGTTACTCCCCAACACTGTTTATTGGTATTCTTGCTCTTATTTGATTTGACTAGTTTTTAGTCCAATGAGGTTCATTTGGTCTTCTGATATTTTATTATTAGGTTCTTTTTTCAGACCTAGAGTTTTGTTTCATACCTGACAGTTTCGACTGCTCACTAGCGTCTTCCTCAGAGTCACATGATGTTGTTGTGACGTGTTGCTCAGCTGATTTAAACAGGTTTTGGCGCTGTTTTCCTACCGGTGGAGTCAGGACGACAGCGCCACCTGCAGTCCCACTTCCTCAGGACAGTATCCCAGGTGTGTGAGAGTAAAAATGCCCCGGTTTATCATCCTGTGGGCACATTTCCGTATTTCAACTGCTTCTTTAATCCAGCGGCGATGTTTGTTTACCTCTGTCCCAGTGATGTTTGCTCCATCCCAGTCCAGAATGTGGTTCTCTCTTTTACAATGGTCAGAAATTTGAGTTGTTCCTGTTCTGCTTTGTGTTTTGTTGCTCGTGCGCACGTCTTCGCTGTTTCCTTCTCGCATTCTGTTCTATGTTCCTTTTTTTCGTGTACTGAACGCCCTCCATGTTTCCCCGATGGGTGTTTTATTGCAGGACATGCAGGGTATTTCATATACTGCATTACATTTTTGCTTCCGGCTGTAAACCGGGACGAGGGGCTTTTTTACTCTCACACACCTGGGATACTGTCCTGAGGAAGTGGGACTGCAGGTGGCGCTGTTGTCCTGCCTCCAACGGTAGAAAGACAGCACCAAAACCTGTTTAAATCATCTGACCAGACACGTCACAACAACATCACGTGACTCTGAGGAAGTGCGCGCTCGTGAGCAGTCCAAACTGTCAGGTATGAAACAAAACTCTAGGTCTGAAAAAAGAACCTAATAACACTGACTAGTTTTCATTGTCTTATTAAATTGTATGTGGTTTTATAGGTCTTACTAGAACAAGCACTCTCGCCTCTCCACAGATCTGACCTGTAACTTAGTTGGGTTTGGTCTCCATGAACTAAAGAAAAGCTTGAGACTAGGTTAGATTAGGCATGTTACAATAATTACTCTAGACTTCAATATAAAATAACTAGAACGGTTTATTTTGGGGCTCAGTTTTTATCGTGTGTATAATTTCTTTGTTATAATGGAGAGATTTTAGTCGTTTTGTTGTAATAAGATAAGATTTAAATCAGCAGAGGGCGAAATAAATAACTTCTATGGGTAATTATTGGCTCATTTGGCTTTTTAGTTGTTGCAGCTCCGGCTTTTTAATGATACAGTATATTTAAAAATGTGTTAACTGGAATTTTCTGGCTTTGTGTCAGTGGCATAAAGTGGTTTAAAGAGTCTGTAGTAAGTATTGTTCTTCAGAATCTGTTAATATGTCATTTAAGATCACTGTTGGGCAAGTGACTTCAAGACTATAATGTGTTATTTATGACTTGTTAGTGTCATTTCAAAGTCATTTGTTACATTACAATATTAGTGCACTTAAAATGTAAAACATTACACGACTACTGCAGCACTTTAAGAGACTCTCAACAAAAGAACTGTCACTGATCGACAAATAACAATCAGTGACTGAAGATGTCGAACTTTTGTACCATATATGGACTAAACCAGGACTAAACCAGAGCTGAACCAGGACTCAATCTGGACTATATCAGGTCTAAACCAGGACTACATTAGAACTGAACCAAAGATGAACCAAGGACTGAGCCAGGACTGACCCAGGTATAAACCAGGACTAAACCCGATCTAAACCAGGTCTAAACCAGGACGAAACCAGGACTAAACTAGAACTGAACCAAAGATGAACCAGGACTGAACCAGGTCTAAACCAGGACTAAACCAGGACTGAACCAGGTCTAACTCAGGACTGAACCAGGTCTAAACCAGGACTAAACCAGGACTGAACCAGGACTGAACTGAGGACTGCACCAGGACTGAACCAGGTCTAAACCAGGACTAAACTAGGACTGAACCTGTACTAAACTAGGACTAAACCAGGACTGAACCAGGTCTAACTCAGGACTGAACCAGGACTGAACTGAGGACTGCACCAGGACTGAACCAGGTCTAAAACAGGACTGAACCAGGTCTAAACCAGGTCTAAACCAAGAGCACTGAACCAGGACTAAACCCAGATCAAACCAGTACTAATCTTGGACTAGGACTTTGGAATCTAAGACCACCCCTGAGAGAACTCCAAGCCCACGGAACAGGGTGTCCACAAAACATGATTGGGCATCAGCTGCAATTACCCAGTGGTCTACGCCCACGGTTACCCGACGGTCTACGTGGATGCACCTCCGGACCTCTCCTGACAGTTGAAACCGTAACGATGGCATTTCACCGCTGCTGATATTGCAGTGATTTTAGCAAATTTGTATGAAGAAAAACAAAAAAAACAGAGCTTCAATCCAAGTTAAAAAAGCACTGTAACATGCATTACTGACACCGTACCGAGTATTTTTTTCCTGTAATCCCACATTACTGCGTTAGAGCAAAAAGCAATGCATTACAGTAATTCATTACTTTTATAACACGTTCTCCCAACACTGTTTAAGACACAAAATTAGTAAAGTGAAATTGTACGTGTTGTTGTTGACTTAAAGGTGTATTGTGTAACTTTTCTGGTTTCACTGATTTGAGTTTTATGATCATATTTGAATAAAGTACTGACCAGCATTCAGAATAGTGTCCACAGAAAAATGGAATCTGCAGCCACAGTTTCTCTGGAGCACAGTCTGACCCTCCAGCAGACACACACTCATCGAAAGTCTGGAATACGATCGGAAATATGAAGAGAGAATTAATTACAGCGATCACACATAATAGCCCGTGTTAGCCTTGTATTGATCAGGGAACAGATATTATCACCTTTTTGTCTCCTTGCTTCCTTCGCCTCAGTCCGGGTCTGTAGTCGTCCCCAAAGCGCAGGAAGTAGTAATAGGAAACCAGACGCTCTATGGGGTCCCGGATCACGTTGATGTAAATGGGTTTTCTCTTGACCCCGAATCTGAAAATAACAAAAGCAACATGTTTAAAGGTGTTATATTGTGTAAGATTTAAGTCATGTTACAATGCTGTTACTGCCTCAAAAACAGACCTGGAGTTTTGTTTCATTCACACATGTTTGAGTAACTTTATTATTAGGCTGTTTACATCTCCAAAGCTCAAAATCCTCTGTTGCACCTTGTGATGTCATGAAGTGGTAGTTTTCAAGTTAACAGCTGCCTTTTACAGTTGGTTCAGTAGAGTTTGGCAATTCCAGAGCTGAAATGATCCAAATGATTTTACTGAAGGTGTGTGGAGTTTTAAAACACAGTGAAGCACTTCCTGTTCTACCGCATGACATCACAAGGTGGAACAGAGTGTTTTCTATTTGAGAGAAGAACTCAGCCTAAATATGCAGGGTTGGGTGAATAAAACAAAACTCCAGGTCTGTTTGTGATGAGGAAACAACATTAGAACACAGATCAGAACATAGTGTAATATGATCCCTTTAAAGCTACCATTCATAAGCTTTGATTGATTCATTTATTTTTTTACCAGTAGATGGCAGATGTAAAACCTGTCTCCCCTTCCCTCACCTGGCCTTTGTTTAGACTCACCTGTGCTGCTTGGTCTTGTTTGTTAGACCAAATATCATAGCATCTATTCATTCAATTTATTTGTTTAAGCCAGGTACAACAAGATTCAAAAACAATACAAAAAATTGTGATGTATACATGAATATATTTGGGACCTGGTGCTCAAAAGGAGGAGGATGAAGCTTAAAAAAACTTACAGAATCCTACCCTAATTGTTTTACATAATCACGTGGTTCACTTTTATATATATATATATATATATATATACATCACCTTTAGAGTGCTTACCTGTCATTATGCAAAAATATACCCACATATATACAAAAACATATCCACGCATACGCGCGCGCACACACACACACACACACACACACACACACACACACACACACACACACACACACACACACACACACACACACACACACACACACACACACACACACACACACACACACACACACACACACACACACACACACACACACACACACACACACACACACACACACACACACACACACACACACACACACACATACGCGCATCATAGATATAAAGTACATATACTCAATATAAATGTTTATACACATATGCATAACACACATATACATACATGCAGAAATATATTTTTGTTTATGGTCGCACAAACTAATAATAATGTTAACAGAGACACAAAGTTTATCATTTATGATCGTACAAAATGAACAGTAATGAGAATAAAACATTTAAGGATTTTTGTTTTCGTTTATAGTCATACAAACTGATAACAGTAATATAGTGGTGATATGTGAGAATACAAGAGGGATGGGTCAGTCAATTTAATAACAGAGGGTAGCTTTAAAGAAGACAAACTGGGTTTTTTGGACTTTAAAAATAATTTAACACGTGTAAATAATTATTTTACATTTTGTTCTTTGTAAACTGCAGCATTAAAGGCCATGCACCTGATTTTATCCCATTTATCTGAGCAGAACTAGTCTTACCCCCGTACAGATACAGTTTATTGTACAGTACAAGCAGCTCTTGAGGTCAAAATAAATCCATTGTGTGTTGTCTGCGTCTAATTAAAAAGCATTTTACTGTCTGATAATCAAGAAGTGCGTGTTAGAATGCTAGTTGTTGTTAGTTTACCATCACGGAACTGGTCTCTGTGAGTTGTGAAAAGCTCTTATAAAGTCATTGCGGTACATCAGGGTGTTTATAAAGTAAGTGAGGAATAACTTTGAACCACTGCAAACTGTTCTGTTTTTCATGCTTTAATTTTAGTCTATTGTTTGACAAAAAAGTGACATACTATGGCTTTTAGACTCACTTTTTGCATAATTTGTGCTGCAGTTTTTGCTTCGCTAAATATGAAAAGTTTAAGTCTTGTATCTTTTCTTTGCAAAGGAGTAAATGTTTTTTTGTAAATTGCGTTTCTTCATTGTGAAAACTAAAAAAAGGGAAAAAATGTACAATAGAGGAGAGGGAGCCATGAAAGGTAGGACAGATTGTGTAGTGAGTAATGAACAAAGGAACGTAGGAGTTATAAATCAAACAGAGCTGAGAGGTCAATGGAAAAGTACAAAAGCAGCAAGTAGGACTTCAATGAATCACATTTATTTCAAATGAAATCTAAACATTCAGTGTTATGGCTGCGTCTTGTCAATCCTCTGTCACTAAAAGCACGTGTTTGGAGCTCAGATTTTGGAGGAAGAAATAATTTTTGTGTTAAAGTTTCAGGGGTAAGGGGGAAGACTATCAGCTCGTCTGATATGAGATGTTAAAGGGCCCATCTCATGCAAAGTAACTCTTTTCACATTGTATCTTCTGCAATTTGGGTTTTGGAACATCCATTACATAATAGTTCTGAAATCTTACTGATTTCTTGGAGACAGTCACAGACCAGGAACTATGAAAGGCCGACTATTGCTCCTCCCCCCGCCCGTCCTGAGAAAACACAGGCTCCGCCCTCCAAACGTGACGTAGGCGACGAGTGAGCCGCCCTTCCTCCACCCATCTCAGGCAGGGAGGGGGAGACAGGCGTGACCCTGATAGCTATAGGAATGTTAAGGAATTACTGGTCGGACCCAAATACGCAGAAACAAAAGGTATTTATTAACAAAAATAGTCTTGGAAGGGGGATGGGTTCCAGGGGAGGCAGGATGGGTTCAAGTCGGCTGCAAATGCGAGGTATGTGGTGATGAGGATGACCAGAGGCTTGCGGAACAGGTGGCAACTAGTGATGTTATGAGATGTGCCGAGGTTTCGAAGCGTGTGTCGAGTAATGAAGGGGGTTTCAGGCTTGTTTCATTTGGGGGAGGAGCCAAAAATGATGACATCCGAAGCCTCGCTGTCCGGCTGTACCACGTGACTGCTTCGGGAAGTGGTTCGCGGATTTGGCGCGATTCGAAACAGCAGCAAGTGAAACGCAACGGATTCCCCCAAAACATTTTGTGGTTTTGGGTTATTGCGAGTTTGGTACATTCTATTTGAGATTTTTATTTTATTTTTATTTTTTTTAAAGCAGGGGAAATTCTCCATAAAAAAGAAACCGTCTGAGTCCAAATACTGTGGAGAAATGGATATTTTTAAATAAAAATGAATAAAATGACCCTATCTTGCCGTCCTTATTGTGGCATAAGCACAGATGTAAAGCAGTAACACAAACACAGTCACATTACATCCTGAGCTTCAATTTGTTCCTACTTTTTCTTTTAACACGACCTTTATATCATGAAAACAGACTCCAGGTTAATACATTTACACTTTGTTGAAATCACAAACATTCAAATATTTAATCGTTCATTTATTCAGTATAAATCTTTCCATCAGAACCTCGATGATCATGTTGATAGTTCTATTATCACTCTGGATGTTATACATGTTTTTGGACACTTGATGGGACAGTGGAGCAAATGAAGCACCTTGAAGCATCGGCTCAAGAGTCGAGCAAATGAACGGAACGCTTCAGTGCTTCATGGGGCTTCATCTCACCATCACTAGTGGCAACGGAATGAAGCTGGCTCCAACTGGAAGAACACTGAAATGACGGAATGATCTAGCACTGGAGAGCAGGTCAGCAGGTTTCTTATGGCAGGCGATGATTGCTTGATGGGAACCAGGAGTGGAGCTCAGCAGGTGTGATGAATTGGGGAAATGCCAAATAAGGTGAGGAGAGAAGGGAAGAGGGAGCAGGGAAAGGAGGGGTAGGAGGGGCAGACAGAAACCCTCACAAGGAATAAACTTTTATTCATCATGGAGATGCAGCGCGCTCAGCCGCACGTGTTGGACCCGGAATCGGACGAGGACTTTGAAGTGCACGAAGCTCAAGCACCGCGTCCACATCAACTGAACATTACTGATTGGTAAAGTTTTAATAAACACTAGTAGATAAACTTCTTATATCGTGGCTTATGCTGTCGCTTTTGTTTAGGTGTTCATGTGGAAATTGTCAGACGAAGCGGGGTGGAGACGGGGTGGACGCGGTGGAGCGGGGAGCTGCTACGTCTGATGCGTCATAAGTGTATCCGCTGCATCATTGTTGTAGCAGCTTTAGTTCGTTGTCTGGTGGGAGGGTGAGAGAAATACGCTGCAATTTGTAAAAAAAAAAAAAAAAAAAAAAAAAGCCGAATCAATCTAAAAACCACTTCAGCGACAAATACAAGGCCCACACATCGCTCTTAGAAGGTAGAAAGCTCTGAAAAGTTGATTTTGCATGAGATGGGCTCTTTAAAGCTTTGCCTCGAATGTTCCACAGTTTGGCACTGAACTTTGCTACTGTATTTCTGTTAAGATAAGCAGGTGATGGTACCAGGGCAAGCTACAGGTCAGGTCTGTGCAGAGACAAACCCTGCTGTACTGTATGATTTTCAACATATTTAAAGCAATAAAAAACACCTGCAAACAAACAAACAACCAAACACAAGAGCGAGTGCCATTTTGAAGTATCATTCATCTCCATGGAGACAAGCAGGTAGCAGATCCTCCACTAGTAAAGTTACATAAAATGGAACTGATTGAAAGTCTGTCTCATTTGTTTGTACATTTATGTTGGAATCAAAATCAAGAATTCATAATTGAGGCTGATCAAAATAAGACTTTATGTGTTCATTCTAGAAGATGTATATAAAATTCGAGTATGTTTTATTGTCTTACTTGGTGAAGTCGATGAAGGACACATGGCCGTGGTAGAAGGCTGGCTTCATCTCTCTCCACTCGGTCACGTTCCTCACAAACCGTGTCTGGATACACAAAATATGAGATTATTATAAACCAATAACAACAAATGTAAAAGTAAATTAAAATGATTGTATGTTTCTAATCAAAAATCCATCCATTGAAAATGTACTGTATATATTTTATGTGTATGTAACTTCTGTGTCTTGTATTATCTGTTTTTATGTGCGTAGTTTATATTCTTTTATATGGACAAGTGTTGAAAACTAACACTTGTGCTAAAACACTCAAAGCAATGTATCTGGCTTGTCTAATGTGATTGTGATGTCCTTAATAAGCATAAATAAAATAAAAAATAATAATATTAACACTGAGTAATAACACTGAGTTCATATCGTCATTAGGGATAGAAAAGGACATAAACACGACATACATGGTTAAACATTCATTTACATAATGTGTCTCAATCAGAGGTGAGTAGAGAAGTCAATAATTTTACTCAGGTGAGTGTAATGTTACTTCAAAGTCACTTAACCCTCTGGTCACCTGGGGATATTCGTGGGCCCTTTTGAGCACCTTTTTTTTTTTCAAGCATCAATCTTTCTGACTGTGTTGAGGTCAGTCATGTGAAACTTTTCAAAGTACCGTGGATCGAGTCAGATTTTAACATGCTGCTTTGATTTTTGTTCAAAGGCTGGAACAAAAGTTACGTTCATCATCTTTGAATGGTCATAAAATCCTCCTAGATCCATATAGTTTTTACTGACTGAGCGCCCGCGCTGTGTTACCTGGTCCTGTATGGACATGACGGGGTTGTTCTTGGAGGTGTTGATGTGGAGAACGTGGTAGTGGTTCTTTCCACACAGGTCGTAGGCGATGTTGGTGAAGGAGGTGCTGGCCGTCTTTGGGACCCGGTTGTAGACTATGACCAGGTCCTCGTCCGAGTCCTGGGTCCAGCTCTGCTCCCTCACGCCCCAGTCCTGACTCTGCCTCTGCTCCAGCTCCCGCACCTCGTGTCTCGCCATCGCACGCTCTGAAGAAGACAAAGAGAAGAAAGAAAAAGAGAAAGATGTCAGCTTTTTATATTTTATTTTAGTTGTGTCAGTAGGAATTATTAGATAGAGTTTGTCACAATGATCAAAAATCGGATATTAATTGATATTAAAACTAGAATCAAAACTAGATACGGAGGGAGAGTCTGAACAAAGACCAGGTGAGGGGAGACGGAACAGGTTTCACAATCACAATCTGCACAATTTGAGCTTCAGCAATTATTGTAAAGACTGCAATTATTTAGATAATAGAATGTCCTCAACAAAGAGCAAAAGATTTTATTGAAAAATCATGTTGTATTTATGGACACATTTTTATATAAGGCACTCAAAGCACTTTACATCAAGAAACCACTCACCCATTCACACACACACACACACACACACACACACACACACACACACACACACACACACACACACACTCATACACCAACACATTCTCACTTTTTAAACACAGCCTATACTCAGTGTTGGGGAGTAACAGATTACATGTACCGGCGTTACGTAATCAGAGTACAAATTATGAGTAACTGTATTCAGTTACAGTTACTGTTTCAGTGAGAGGTAATTGGATTACAGTTACTTTGCTGAAATAAATGGATTACGTGGAGCTATTTTCCTGTTTTCACATTTTGAGCTATAACCCATTTTTTTTTAAAAAAATTATTTTATTTCAGTAATTCCACTCATTGCCAGAAACCCAAACAGAACACGCACAATAAGAGCCGCGTAAACGTCTTGTTAACGTTGGTGGTGTCAGTCACACAATGGACGGGTTCGTTAATAATCGTTGTTGTTAACAATCTGATTCTGCATCATTTTAAGTAAAAAACATCAAATATTACTGATTTTTACTGGGCTGGAGCCTTTATGTTTGGTGGACAGCAGGTGAGCATAATTTAAAGCAGCAATGATCTCATATAAAAATCATTTCTCTATCAATAATATTTTTATTACAGTAAAGAAAAGACTGGACTTTTTATTGTCTTTTAGCAGACAAAACAAAACATCTTATGTTAAGATTTCCTCGTCTTTGCTTCTCTACAGCAAACAGTTTCTTATTCTTGGAGACTTGGGCTCAACAGACAATTTGAAGGGAACAAACAAGAATTTTCAGGATGTGGTCGCTACATTCATGTCGTTTTAAAAAGCATGACAATATCAAGTAATCCAAAGTATTCAGATTACGTTATTCGCTTTAAGTAATTTAATGGATTATGTTACAAACTACATTTTGGGATATGTAATCTGTAATCTGTAGGGGAATACATTTTAAAAGTCACCTTCCCAACACTGTCTATATTGAAATTGGAAATTTGAAAAATATTTCTGAAAAATCACAATTATATATTTTTTTCCAAAATGGTGCAGCTCTTCATCTACTGGTGACACAAACACAGAAAAAAAAATCAAATAAACGTTACAGACAGTAGCTTTAAAGTGTACAAGGTTCTACATCTAATCGTAACATAAAGGATGAAGTAAAAGAACGACGGAACGAAGGAGCAGACAAGTATTTGAAAAGGCGTCGACAGAGAGAATGGATGGTGGAAACATGAGAGCTCTGAAAGAAGAGAAACAAAAGACGAGGGGAAAAATGAGGAGGAAAATGTGTGAAGGAAAGAAGAAAAAAGATGTAAAGAAAACAAGGACAGACACATATAGAATAAAAATAACATCACATCCAAGCAGATTCCAGCTGTGTAAATGGACTTGGTGAGCAGGTAGATAACAGAATGATCTTTTTGGGTCAAACACTCATCAGTATTCAGGGTCATTTGGGCTGCAACTTCTGTCTGTTTCTTTTTTTTTTTTCTCTTTTTTTTTTTCTTTTCTTTTTTTAAAGTGGACCTATAATGCAAACATTTTTAGAGCTTTTATCATGTTATAGTTGTGTCTCCTTTCATTTCTCTCACTAGTACACACACACTGCTCTTATACTTTACTACCAGTGTTGGGGAGTAACAGATTACATGTACCAGAGTTACATAATCAGAGTACAAATTATGAGTAACTGTATTCAGTTACTGTTTCCTTGAGTGGTAATTGGATTACAGTTACTTTGTTGAAATAAATGGATTACACAGAGGTATTTTCCTGTTTTCACATTTTGGGCTATATCCCTTTTTTAAATTGTTTTGGTTATTCCACTCATTTGCCGGACACTAAACCAGGTCTAAACCAGGTCTAAAACCAGGTCTAAACTAGGACTAAACCAGAACTAAACCAGAACTAAAACAGGACTAAAACCGGGTCCAAACCAGGTCTAAACCAGGTCTAAAACCACGTCTAAACCAGGTGTAAAACCAGGTCTAAACTAGGTCTAAACTAGGACTAAACCAGGTCCAAACCAGGTCTAAACTATGTCTCAAACAGGATTTAACAGGACTAAATCCTGCTGTGTGGACGTGTCTCCTCGTCTTCTATCAATAATATTTTTAATTTGATGAAGTAAAGTGTGGGCTTTTTATTTTCTTTTATCAGACAAAACATTTTATGTGAAGATTTCCTCGTCTTTGCTTCTGTACAGCAAATCAAGTAATCCAAAGTATTCAGATTACATTACTCACTTTAAGTAATTTAACAGATTCCGTTACAAACTACATTTTGGGGTATGTAATCTGTAATCTGTAGGGGAATACATTTTAAAAGAAACCTTCCCAACACTGAGTACTACATTACATTATTACTTATACTACAATTTTATTTTCTTACTTGGTGATACATGTAGGATTGAGTAAATCATTCTTTCTGCTCCTCGCGTGTGTGATGTGCAGTTGTGTCGCTCTTTGTCGTAATGTTATGATGTTTAAGTTTTCAACCAATATAGTGATTTAAAATGTCCAAATTACAACATTATGATCCATGGAAGTTATAAATTATAAGTTACAAGCCAGTATCGAGTAAAATACATTATCATTTTATCATCCAGAAAACACAGATGGCCACTGCTCTGACTTCCCACTCTGCTCTCCACTTCACCTATTTTTATGTGGTTAGAATTAAAGGTGCATTGTGCAACTTTTCTGGTGGAGGTGAACGTTAGAGATTAAACCTGTCGATCTCAAGGGGGACGACTATAAGCAACATTACTGTCCAATCCAATCCACTGTATTTCTATAGCAAATTTCGCAAACAAACAGGTTCCAAAGTGCTGCACAAATACATAATAATAACAACAATAAGAAAATGATGCAAATAAATCTGATTTAATCGTACTAATCTTAAAATAATAAAACCAGTAAAATAAAATAGAGCAAAATCATAGAATAGCAATAAATACTTAAATAAAACCAATAAAATACATAAAAAAAAAAAATAAAAAAAGACACAGCAGACCACACAACTCACGCGGTGTTAAAAGCCAGAGAGTAAAAGTGGGTCTTAAGACGAGATATTTATACAGGTCAGATCTATGGAGAGGCAACCCTATTCACAGAGAGAATTATTGTATTTTGAGCAACAGAAGGGAACCAACTGGAAAGTCCCCCTGAATTGTAGCCTTTGTGAAACTTAGTTTGTTTATCTATATACATATAAAAAAACTAAAAACATTTTTGTCATTATAGATGCAGTATTGTCAGTGTTGGGGAGTAACAGATTACATGTACCAGAGTTACATAATCAGAGTACAAATTATTACAGTTACTGTTTCAGTGAGTGGTAATTGGATTACAGTTACTTTGTTGAAATAAGTGGATTACAGGGCGGTATTTTCCTGTTTTTACATTTTGGGCTATGCCCCCCCTTTTTTTCCCCCTGTAATTCCACTCATTGCCGGACACTAAACCAGGTCTAAACCAGGTCTAAACCAGGTCTAAACCAGGTCTAAACCAGGATTTAACAGGACTAAATCATGCCGCGCGCACCATGTCTCCTCTTCTTCTATTAATAATATTTTTTAATACGGTTAAGGAAAGTCTGGGCTTTTTATTGTCTTTAAGCAGACAAAACTTCTTATGTCAAAATATCCTCGTCTTTGCTTCTCTACAGCAAATCAAGAAATCCAAAGTATTCAGATTATGTTACTCACTTTAAGTACCTCAATGGATTATGTTACAAACTACATTTTGGGGTATGTAATCTGTAATCTGTAGGGGAATACATTTTAAAAGTCACCTTCCCAACACTGAGTATTGTACACACACTGGTTATAATATATATCTGTTCATACATACAAAAGAAACATGCAAAAATGTTGTGGTCTCAACTGTGCCACAGCTATTTCAGGATATTATTTTACATATTTCAATGAAGTACATAGTTAAGACCTTCCTAAAAGTGATTTTGAATGATTTTTGAACAAATTCTGTAGCTTTCTAAGTTTCTTGTGTTGTGCTGCTTACGAATTACAAGGTATCCCCAGGTTTGACAACCCCAAATTTAAGATTTTTAAAGACCTTTTTAAGACCACTTAAATGAAAATTAAGACCAACCGACTGCGCGGGCGAAAAACACCAGATCCAATTCTAGATTCCAACTACTGTATCTAGAATCTAAGAGCCACTGTGGATTAAACCGACACTTCCTCATGATCCATCCAACGTTTACTCTTTGCCGCCGGTGCCAGAAACCAAAGTAATGTTTTCACATACTCCAAATTCAAATTCAAATTCAACTTCATTTAACATTGTCCTGCAGCTCGGTTGAGTATAAAAAAAATAGGCTAATGATTTAATAATTTAAAACTTTTGTGAAAAAAATAAGACTTGGACAACATAATTTAAGATTTTTTAAGGCCTTAATTTAGGAACATGAAATTTAAGACCTTTTTAAGACTTTTAAGACCCCGCGGCTGCCCTGAATTATGTTTATGGCAGGGAAATAATTCATATTTCTTCCCAAATCAACAGTTACAGATGCTATAGGACATGGGGAACAAGAAAAAAATGATTTAAAATAGGATAGTAAACTTATGCGAGCAAATGAGAATTATATTGATATTACAGACTGAAAAAATGTGTGCGGCTACAGGAAG